AATTCGATCCCAAATATAGGAATACACTGAAAAAAAAAACAAGAACAAATTCGATCCCAGATATAGGAATACACTGAAAAAAAAAGTTCCTTGCCAGTTATAAGAGTAATCTGAAAGAAAAATAACAACATCTACAACAACAAGAAGGAGCACAACTATTGCTATCTTAACATATAATGAAAATGTTTGAATATTTCCCAGTCTTTTTAAATCTTCGTATTGAAAATATACACCACATTTCACTTTCCTGTGATAACACAAGTAGAAAACAAAGCTACCATTGAAGGCATAATAGGCTGTGGATAGAAGGGTCCGGGGTTCGAGACGTGATGCTGCAGTATTTCAAATATATGAATGGCTGTATCTTAACATTAAGGGTCTGTGACTTGGAGTTTTAGCTCAATTGCGCTGATTGACACTTCTAATTCCCAAGTGCTGTAATTTCACCAAAAATACGACTACAGGAAAACAGAAGTATCCTTCCATATCGATCACAGAAAAGTCAACCAAATAGTAACATAATGCACTAAAATCGTTGAAGACAACGATGTAATGCAGCCTGTAATTAGTCTTGATAACTGTATGCATAATTCAGTGTCAGTGAATTAATAGCAAATTAATTTCTTGCGGTTAGAGCCATTTTTGTACAGTATTTCTCAATTATAATAATTTAAAGTCTCTCTCGTATGGTAAGTGTTAATAACATATGATTTTGAAATGTGTTCTAAATTTTATTTAAATAACTGAAGTCAGTTTTATATTAAATTTTCCAGGCTGTATTAGAAAGTCCTAGTATGAACCAGGAAATCATTACTTGCCAATAACGTGTATGTTGTACAGTTTCGTTACAAAAATACATTTTGGAAAATCAAAGAAGATTAGTCTGTTGATATATCACCTATTAGACGTTTCAGATTGCAGGATGTTCGTCATATATTACGACGTAGGCACGCCATCCATTAGACGTCTCAGACTGCAGAATGTTCGTCACATATTAGGACGCAGACACGCCATCCACCAGACGTCTCACACTGCAGTATGTTCGACACATAATAAGAGGTAGGCACACCATCCATTAGACGTTTCAGATTGCAGGATGTTCGTCACATATTAGGACGCAGACACACCATCCACCAGACGTCTCACACTGCAGTATGTTAGACACATAATAAGAGGTAGGCACGCCATCCATTAGACGTCTCAGACTGCAGGATGTTCGTCACATATTAGGACGCAGACACACCATCCACCAGACGTCTCACACTGCAGTATGTTAGACACATAAAAGAGGTAGGCACATCATCCATTAGACGTTTCAGACTGCAGGATGTTCGTCACATATTAGGACGCAGACACACCATCCACCAGACGTCTCACACTGCAGTATGTTCGACACATAATACGACGTAGGCACACCATCCATTAGACGTTTCAGACTGCAGGATGTTCGTCATATATTACGACGTAGGCACGCCATCCATTAGACGTTTCAGACTGCAGGATGTTCGTCATATATTACGACGTAGGCACGCCATCCATTAGACGTCTCAGACTGCAGGATGTTCGTCACATATTAGGACGCAGGCACACCATCCATTAGACGTTTCAGACTGCAGGATGTTCGTCACATATTAGGACGCAGACACACCATCCACCAGACGTCTCAGACTGCAGAAGTTCGTCATATATTACGACGTAGGCACGCCATCCATTAGACGTCTCAGACTGCAGGATGTTCGTCACATATTAGGACGCAGACACACCATCCACCAGACGTCTCACACTGCAGTATGTTAGACACATAAAAGAGGTAGGAATACCATCCATCAGACGTCTCACACGGTAGGATGTTCGTCACATAATACGACGTAGACATACCATTCATCAGACGCCTCAGGCAGCAGGATTTTCATCAAATATGACGACGTAGACACACCTTCCATCAGACGGCGGAAGTAGGCTATTTGTGGACATAGCATACTTCATATTCCGTCAACGTGACAAAAATTCCTGAACGTCTCCATTTCTCCTTCCGATAATTAATGAAAACTAAATCATAAATCTTCAAACAACTTTTGTACTATTGTTATAAACCATGTAAACGAATGTGAGGTATAAACCTCATCGTACTTGGAGCACGTGCTCATTCTACCTCTTAGTTGTAAGACAATAAGTTGTGTATTTGGTACACTTCTTTAATTTTTTTTTCAATTTTGAAAACTAAAGAGGCGTGATGAGAAGTGGAGACACATATAAAATGATGAAAGATTTACAACATAATACAAATGAGAGACCTATTCCGTGGCTCAGCGGTAAGCTAAAGGGTAGTAACGTTAATTTAAATTTGGTTAGTTTCTATGTTTTTGTTAAGCGCAAAGCTACACAGTGGACCATCTGTACTGTGCCCACCACGGGTTTTTAGTGCTATAAGCCCGTTGACTTACCAATGAGTCATTGAGGTATTCTGGTTCATATCAGGTGAAAACTTCATTATTTGAAGGTATGTCGATTGTTTGCATTTTCGTGTAATATCACTACTTCCCTTTAGAGGGAGTTTGCTGTTTCCAATACTGCCGGAAAACTCCAGCTGGTGCTTTTCAAACACGACAGGTAGTCCTAAAAGCTGAACCATTAGCTAAGCTGCTCAGAAGAAGACGTTATTCTACAAATAGCCATGAGTTGATGACACAGGAAGATGGACTTGCGGATAACTATATTAATACAAGGTTTTTCAGCTTTCTAGATGTCTACTAGATCTAGATATATTGTAAATGGAGTTCAAAATTTTATATTAGAAGTGATAACCGAGATCGGCCTGGACTCGAACCCGAGGCTCTGTTTATCAAGCAAAGGCTGAGGTAAGTTGATAAAGCATCTGTCAAATTCGTGTCCCATTCGGTCTTAGATTTTCCTTCTTTTTTTAAAAAAAGAAAAACAGATGAAAAATAGTAAATTCTTATTCCTTATCGTGGCGAATTTTTTTTCGCAATTTTTACATTAGTCGATAGAGCACGTGCACGACCAGAACGCCACCTTATGTGACCAAGTTAAATAGTGAAAAATATTTAAAATTTACTTTTTATGTCTTTCACGTTATTGTTAATATTGTCGACTTAAATGCCCTAAGCGAACTTTAAAACATTTTTTTGCAAAACAAAAAACTCAGACCATCGCGGGTACCGAAACCCTATTTTTAGCGTTATAAACCCACTGACTTACCGTTGAGCCACCAGATGGCGCATTGACATCATCCTTGAATTTTAGTTAGCAAACCTTCAATTTTATTTTACTGTTTGACGTACGGGTAAGACATAGAGGCGTGACATAGGGAGTCAGATCCGACGCCCTGTGTCATTCCCCGGGGGCTCTAAGGGTACATGTCAGGTGTGGTGAAAACCGATCCAACAATCAGCTTACCTCTGTGGTTTCAGTCTCACACTTATGTGTATCAGCAAACATCCCTTCGTCTTCAGAACACTGGTCAATATCGACGTTAGCGAGATTGATGGTCACCATAGATACGCCCCTGTGGAAGAACATTATACATATGTGATAAATCCTTTACGAGTGATAGTATTTCTAACCACAAGATCATCAGCAGCGTGCAGAAAACGACCACAAAATTACCACTGTTACTATCTATGTTTTATCACTTATCTGGCATAACTTGTGTCTTGATCCGAGCGTGGCCAAGAGGTCGGCGTGCCCGAAATGTGTTTGTTTGTTTGAAGTTAAGCACAAAGCTACACAATGGGTTATCTGTGCTCTGCCCACCACGGGTATCGAAACCCGGTTTCTAGTGTTGTAAGTCCGCAGACATGCCGCTGTGCTACTGGGGGCACCCGAAATGTGAAACCGAGAATCCTTGCTTCGCTACCCGTTTCAGCGAACTTTGGGTCGTGGGTGCGCTATATTAGTGAAGATCAAGCTCCAATATTCAAATAAACAAGAGTAGCCCAGGAGTTGGCGGTGGGTGTTGCTGATTAGCCGTCTTCGTCTAGCCTTTCAGTTACAAATTTGGTGACGGCTGTTGATAGGTAGTCTTTGTGTAGCTTTGCGCAGAATTCTGAAATGCTTTTTAAAAAAAATGGTTTGACGTATGCTGAAGACAGGGGACAGACGAGGGGATATTGGGGTGATATCTAGAATGAGCTGACATTATTTAGAAGCCGAGAAGTACAACCAAAGACATTATCTCATTACGTTGTTGCAATCCGGATATCTTACGTTTGGCTGTTTGTGTTAGAGCAAAGCCACATTGAGCTATCTGCCGTGTCTACCTCGGGGGAATTGAACCCCGGATTTTAACGTTGAAAGTCCGCAGACTCAAGTATCACAACTAACAGTATACCGTCAGCCAAAAGCGGAAATAAGCCCGAGATCCCTATCCGACCTCGCGTAAGCCTAACGAAATCCTCTCAGCATGATGTGTCATCAGTCTAGCGTTATCGATCCACATCTAGCCCCCACCCCCCCATTCAACAATACAGTCTCGCGTTGTTTTCAAGAGCACGTGCGGGGAATTAGATCATTTATTTGAATGTTTTAGCTTCTCTTGCGTTTTAAAAAGTTATCTCTACACCTATAAACAACTGACGATTACGAGTTTTATGTTTATCAGGCTCTAAATGTTTGTTCGAAGCTACACAAAGGGCTTTCTCTGCACAGCTATCCGTTATATTAAACTGACAGAATAAAAACAGAGAGAAAACAACTAGTCGGCAGAACCCACCACGGAACCAAAGTGCGGAGAATCTATTTACGGCAAAGGGACACGAACCATGACTCTTCGAATGTACAGTCCATCTCACTAAATACCTGAACCCAGCATCCCTCATTTTAGTTATTAAAGGTGTTTGTTTGAGTTCATTATACTTCATTTCCGAAGAGCCTCTCCAGTTAAAGATCAATAAAAACATGTCATTAAAAGGGTGTATCCTCAGATAAAGGTGAGTTGTGTTTAAACCTAAATGTCGCCCACAGTTTTTTAAGATTCAAGGACCGAACTCCAACGTTATATTTATCATGTGTGCTTTACAACTACCTGTTCTTGCCGCCAGAAAGGCTACTTTGATTCTACTAAAAGAAGATTGTTCACACGAGTGAAAGAACATGCCAACCTAAGATCCCCTGTTAAGTCAAGTGTACTTGAACATGCCCTACGAGAGGGTGACGTTGTTGGTTATTCTAATTGGTTTAAGACCTTAGCAACTATAAAGTCAAGTGTACTTGAACATGCCCTAGGAGAGGGTGACGTTGTTGGTTATTCTAATTGGTTTAAGACCTTAGCAACTATAAAGTCAAATGTACTTGAACATGCCCTAGGAGAGGGCGACGTTGTTGGTTATTCTAATTGGTTTAAGACCTTAGCAAGAGCCAATGATGAACAAAGCCTCCAAATAAAAGAAAAAGTGTTCATTTACAAGCTGAGGCCCGAAAAATAATGTTGTTGGATCAGCGAGTAAACTGCTTGTAGTTTATTGAGAACGGTCCTCTATATACTGGAAGTTATACTGTTTTATTTAAATGTACAACTTTATTATTCCCCTGCGCCATTAAAAATGAAACTACATTATTTAACATACGCAATTAGTATTCCTCGAACATAATAATAAAAAAAAATAAAAAAATGAAGGCGAAAATTAGGCTTAAACACATCTCAACTGCACCCGTTCATACACCGTTTTAATAATATTTTTGCTTGTTTGTAATTAAGCACAAAGCTACAGAATGAGATATTGACGTATATTGCTGAAAACCTGGTTTCGATACCCGTGTTGGGCACAGCACAGATAGTCCATAGTGTAGCTCCGTGTTTAACAACAAACTCATGATATTTTTTAACTGATTTTTAATAAGTAAAAAATATTCGTCCATGTATGGTAGGCTGAGACAACAGTATATTTAGAAACTATCAGATATACGTGATGTACTAACACTTGGCTTATTTAAATAATTACGAAGTATTACATTAATTACAGAAATCGGGAATAATCTTGACATAAAAACCTTTGATGTTATAAAATTCAAGACCACGTTTTTGCTACATAACCTTACAGGTATGATGAAAGAGTGTTTTGAGTAAATTATCCTTAAACACATCTCGACAAAAACTTGCAAATTAGAACACAATGGTACATTTCATACTTGAAGTTACCATTATTATTACTAATTAAAGAATGTAACAATGAAGGTTTATGTTATTCCTGATGTTCCACAGTGTACTGCTACGTCTACTATTCCAAAATTGAAGACTCCCGGTGGGACAGCGGTAAGTCTATGGATTTACAATGCTAAAATCTGAGGTTCGATTCCCCGCGGCGGACTCAGCAGATAGACCAGTGTGGCTTTGCTCTAAAAACAAAAACAAAACTGGAGAAATTTTAAAGCTTGATCAGAGTTCTTAAGGATGGAGATAGTGTCATCCATAACAGGTAAGTTATGTGGGACCGTGATACTAATAGTTAGGAATGTGGGCTCAGAATGTGAGCTTTTAATCTGCATATTTTTTAAAACCCTAATGATAAGATAGCCTACGTGAGGAAGATCCTAACAATCTAATATTTTTTCATGAATTTCAAAATAGCTGTACATAGAGGGCGCTTTTGGTTGGGTCGTTATTTGAAAGGCCTGCTGTAAAAACACACAAACGTCAATTCGGAGGTCGATTCAGACAATATTGGATGAAATATCTAATTACTAAAGATATATTATTACAAATTAAATGTGTAAAAAAGTCCTATGTAAATATCAAATTAAAACAGGCAGACGCTGCTTTTCAATTCTTATTTAAAACAACCTTTTTCCGCTGCCCGATGTATTTTTATTGAAGACCAAAAGGAATTTGGTGTACAACAAACAGCTCATATAACGTCGATAGCAAATCTGCCCTTATATGGAATTCAGTCAGTTCAAACTTTGCTCATTCTATTTGTTATAAATAAACCCTGACGTCAGCGAGAATTATTGTCATTTGATGAAAAAAGTGTATGTGATAAAAGGGGCGTAGAAAATGGGTTGGACTTTCTGGTTTATATCTCAACAAAATAACAGGATTGGTTGTTATAAACATTGCGTCGTGTTTGTTATTTTTTTGCATAAAAATGAGATACGTTATTGTTTTAATATTCGTAATCTTTTTTTTTCAATTTCGCGCAAAGCTACACGAGGGCTATCTGCGCTAGCCGTCCCTAATTTAGCAGTGTAAGACAAGAGGGAAGGCAGCTAGTCATCACCACCCACCGTCAACTCTTGGGCTACTCTTTTACCAACGAATAGTGGGATGGACCGTCACATTATAACGCTCCCACGGTTGAAAGGACGAGCATGTTTGGTGTGACGGGGATTCGAAACCGCGACCCGCACATTGCGAGTCGAGCGCCCCCTAACCACCTGGCCATATTCATAATAATTTGGTTTTGTGATTTATGGGTGAGCAGTTTGTGTTTACTGTATTAAACAGAACTTTGTCCTTCAACCAATATATTACACAATGTACTGTATTCCAACTTTATCATGCGTTAGTAATAAACCAATATCAGTGATTCTGAACGTGGGACGCAAGCCCCACAGGGGGGCAATTTGAATATATTGGGGGGGGGAATTTGAAAATGCTACAATAAGAAAAAAATTTATATTATATTATTATAATAACTTTTCAAATTTGTTTTTTATATTAAGGGGGCATCAAATTTTTTGAGGTGTCGAGGTGGGGCATGGAGCAAAAAAGGTTAAGAACCACTGGCCTATATTGTCTAACAAACGAAATATTCTAATTATATAATCACAATATATTCTATTACGATAGATATTTTTGACGATATGTTCTCTCTATCTCTAATGTATTCAATCTATGTTATAAAAATATCATTTTTCAAAATGTTCCTCACTGCAAGTGGACTCCGACCGCTATTACGTACCACCAAAAATTATACAAACATGACGCCTATGGAGAGATCAACATACGAAAAATAGTAGAAAGGTTTAAATTATTACGTGCAATTTTCTAACTGTTGTTTTAAATAGAAACACGAAAATAGATTGGACAAAGATGGTGCCAATCTCGAACCCATATCAACACCGACGATATGATCTTGAAGCTTTCCGTTCAAAGAAAAGTAAGGTTATTTAGTAGCAAAGTTAATTAATTTCAGAGAAAAAAATACTGATTTGGGAATGGTCACATTGTTATAAACATCGTTGTAAACCAGATTAACACTTAGTTTTAAAGGTTTGTTTGTACGCAATGATTCTACATCAAAACTGGTACAGTGCACATTATCAGCTATTGTAGTTCATGAGGGAACTCGAAGCTGTCCTTTAAAGTGTATTCACTGGTGACAAATAAACATTCAATTAAAATACCAATTAGAACTTTAGTTATACGCTAATAATAAAGGAACAATACCGATAAAACAAGGATTAAGTCCCCGTAAAAAAACAATAACGTTTGAACATAACAAAAAAAAAATCCCGAGTATAAAACAATAAAACTTATATTAAAAACAAAAAATACCAAACCATTTT